TTTGCTATTAAGTTGCATTGGGGTTTCTTGGGATGCCTTTAAAGGAAGCGTCTGCTACCTAGTGCAGTGTTTTTCCACTTCCTCCAGCATCCTTGATAAGGGCAGGCGTTTGCTGGGTAGCCTTGTTGTCTGTGTCCATCTGCTCGAGCTGCCTCTTGGCCACCTGAAGATGCTCTTTTCCTGTCACATTCTGCTGCAGCTCACTGACGGCTTGCGCTGGCCACAGATGGGAAGTGGTGGCTGCAGAACCTAATGGTCCCCAACCTTGGAAACATCGATTTCTCATGCAAATGCCACTTGCTGATGATAGAGAAAATCACAAAGCCTGTCATGCCCAGGTAGCTTTCTGAGGGAGGATATTTTGCCATTAGTCCATTCTGACCTGAGAGTTATCTTTATGGGATCCACACATGGTTAAATCCATTCTTCCATTACTGAGATTTTACACAAAACTAAGTGTGCATAGCTTCTTTTGGAGAGGCTCTGGTGACATTAAGTGTGCTGGTGATGGTTCCCTGAGACAGCATCTCCTGCCACTTGCCATCAAAGCCCACAGTGTGTTTGGGGGCAGGGGAAGGAGACGGGGAGAAGTTCCTTTTATTCATTGTGTGCTCCAGAAGCAGGTGAGAATGGGAGCTGCCCAGCGTCTTCAAATCTCCTCCTTGTTTTGAGCAAAATTTTCCCAGGAGTGGCCAGGAAGCTTCCCAGAACCTCACCCAGTTCACAGAGGCTCTGGCTCAGCACAGCCTGAATCACCCTCCTTCACCTTTCAGCTTGGGCCACAGGAAATCCTTCTGCTGGCTCTCCCTGCTGCCTTGGTGGTGTGTTTGTCTACAGCTCATCCAATAACAGTTGGTAGTAGGGCAAGTCTTGCCTCCTTCCGGAGGCCACCATGGATTCCACCAAGTGGATAAAACTTCGCTGTTCTTATTTCTAGCTCTAGGCTCTGTTTGCAACTCCAGCCAGGGAGTTCTTGGTCACAGCCTTAGACTTTGCCAAAAGCTGGTACCCGAGAGTCTGTTTCCTGCTGTTAGTTGGGGGAGTCCCAGGGGAAGGAAGGGCTTCTTCAACTTACCTTTGAACATCCTAGGCAGCTTCTTGGGAAGAAATGAGTGTGGGGCAGATGTCACAGGATCTGTCTCCTCATGTATTCTGACAGTTCCCCACATGAAGCTCAGCTAGCACTTCAGTCCTTTAGGTTTTCAATGGAGACTTCTGTGTCATGGTGCAGAAGCTGGGCTGGCCTAGAGCATTTTTGCCTTTGCTCTGGGAAGTCCAAGCTGTGGACATGTCATACAAATGAAGTGCACAGCAGCTTGCCCACCTCACTTTTATCCTTATGTGCTTCCACAAGCCTTCAGATCAGGATCCCCTATGTTCCACAGCTCAAATAAGAATCATCAAGAGGCAGAGAACGACTACCTAGCTATTTGACTTCTCTTTTTCACTGTGATGAGATAGCAGTATTTATACATTTTAAAAGAAACACACACACACACACACGCACACACACACACACACACACTCACACACAATCTCTAGGGACCAGCAAGATGACTAAAAGGATAAAGATGCTTGCCACCAAGCCAGACAACCTGAGTTCAATCCCTAGTATCCACATGATAGAAGGAAAGAACTGACTCCTGAAAGCTGTCCCCTGACCTCACAGGCATGCTATGACGTATGTGTACCTAAACTCACACACACAAAAGGAACAAATGAATAGAAATAATACAAAGACTATTTCCCGGTTCCCATGTAACTAGAAGTAGCCAGCAAGATGGAGGCAGATATCACTGCATACAGCAACCAGGGTATCTTCAGGACTCTAATTCACCTGGTAGAGATTTGTGCTATTACTCCCTCTTCCTTCTTCCAGTGTAGAACTCAGCCACTGTGGCTAGATTTTGAGCAGCCATCTTGTGACCATAAGGAAATCTTGAATCCATCAGGACAGATTTAGTATGGGGTGAGCAGAAATGAGGTGGGACACTTGTGATCTCGTGGAGTCTCTGACCATCTAGAGCTCCGCTGCTGGCTTTTCTGTTCTAAGTCACTTGAAGTCAGCATCCTCTGCTGAGCATCCAAGGCAAGCCCAACAGGAGGCAAAGGCTCTCATTTGGCAAACAGCTCCCTTGATCTAGGCCTTGGACCAGGTGTTTTCTGACATATTATACCCCAGACTCATAATAATACCGCAGAAGGCAGGAATGTTGCTCACATGAAGGAACTGGGACTTAGAGCGTAATGGGGGATTTTCCAAAGCCACACAGCCAATGAACAATACATACACTTGGCTGCAAAGCCAGGACTGTTAGACCCCAAAGCTTATGTCATTCCTTCGCCCAGACTCCCACCTTTGAAACTAATGCAATGCTCTTCTTGAGCACCCAGCAGCCAGGACTTCAGGTTAACTTGGGAACAATGGCTGCCAAAACTTGGGTTTGCCATCTTACCAAGAACACCAGACCACTGGTGGCAGTCTCCATAAACTCTGCCTGGAGAAACCTTAGGCAAAACATGGCTTCCAACTCATTGCGTCTAATTATTTGCCTTAGTGAAGCAAACTGTGAAGAGTGTGGCTTTGAGACACAGGGTAAGTATGTTAAAACCAAGGACAAGAGATGACAGCAATGCTAAGGCCTGTCAGAGACTTTTCGTTTTGAGGTGGCAATGCCACAGAGAACAGCAAATGAGCAATTCCCTGCTGGAGTCAGGCCATGTTTGCTGAAGTGATCTAGGGTCAGTGGCTTGGCATGGCTGTCAGGTTTGTACCAGAGCCTGCGCAGGCCCTGACTCTCTCTCTCCTCCCCTCCCCTCTGTGTGTGTGTGAAAGAAGAGAGAGAGTTTATAGAATATATACATTTTTATAACATTCTTTAACCATTAGAAAGAAACTAATATTCATCAATCATTTGCCATATACTAGATGCTTGTCTGTGGTCCTGATTAATCCTATACAACACACACACAGACACAGACACAGACACAGACACAGACACACACACACACACACACACACACACACACACACACACTATAGGATAAATACTCCTCCCCAGGTCTATAGGATAAAGACCACAGCTCCAGGGATAGCAATGAGCTTGCCCTAGGTTTTTATGGCTGGTGCACTCTCCTGTGTTGCCCCACAGTGTTCCAAAGGGTGGAGGCACAATGAATGAACCATAAAAGACGGGCAATGAGAGGCAACTGCTCACTTTGTAGGTTATAGCAGAAACCCCTTCTTTATGTTTTACCTTTAAAATTCATGTAAGTTTTGTATAGTATGCATTATAAACATGTTATTTTAAAACTAGAACAAATGTACTATATCATGTATTAGATTAATTATTGAAGTTTTTACTCCAGAAACTCACTGTGGAGTGAGATGCCTTTGTGAACTCAGCCACAGCCAGGTTGTTCCCACTGGGAAAACACACACTAAGAGCACAGGGCTGGTCAGAGCCCTAGAGCAGTTTCTACGAGGTGTTTAAGGCCCTGGTTCAGGGTAGCTGCTGTGTTAGAACAGGGTTTGAGGTTGTCGCCTGTTCTAGTTTCTAATAGAATCCTCTGACCAAAAGCAGCTCAGGTAAGGGAGGGGTTTATTTCCTCTTACACTTCCAGGTCACTTTCATCAGTGGGGGAAGTTGGGACAGGAACTCAAGGAGGAGCTTGATGCAGAAAACGTGGAGGAAGGCTGCTTGCTGGCTCTCTTACTGGCTTGCTCACAGGTTCCAGCTCAGCTAGCTTTTTAATACAGCCTAGGACCACCTGCCTGGGGATGGTGTCCTCTACTGTGTGCCAGACTCTGCTGTACTCATTAATAAGCAAGACAATCCTCCACAGACTTGCCTACAGGCCAATCTGATTCAGGCTTTCCTCTCAAGGGACTTTGGGTTATGTCAAGTTGATAAAATTAGCTATGGCATCCCCTGAGGACTCGTGTGTTGGAAGCATAAACCTCTTGCTATTGAAGAGGTAGCATCTTTAGGAGGCGGAGCCTGTCACTGGGCATGTGCCCTGGGAGGGCACTAGTTCTTGTGGAAACCTGAGCTGTTGTGAGAACGAGCCTGACTCTTACCTGCCTTCTGGCATCCATTCACTCTGGCCATGCTCTCTTTCTCCTACACATGCTTCCCTGTGATATTACTTACTGCCATTAGACACTGACCGAAGATCTAACTAATGGGGCTACTTGCTCTGAGTTTAAGCTGCTAAAGCTACTGTAAGTTATATAAACCTCTTTTCTTTATAAACTTATCCAACTTCAGGTATTGTGTCATAGCAACAACAATAAAAATGACTAGTATGGTAGCACACATTTTATTTTGGTGTGTATGGGTGTGTGGGGATGGGTGCAAACACCTATGCATGTGTATATGAAGTCTTGAGGTTGATTTTGAGTGTCTCCCTCTACTTTATTCTACCTTATTTTTGAGACAGGCTCTTCATTGAACCAAGAGTTTTGTACTTTTGCTAGATTAGCTTGCTAGCAAGCTCCTGTCTTGCCCTGTTCCCCATCCCTGGTGTTGGAATTATTATTGCATGCTGCCATGTCTGGCTGTTATGTGGGTGCTGGGGACATGAACTCAGATCCTCATGCTTGTGCATCAACAGTTGTCTCCTATTGAGTTACACAACTGTTTGTTTTAAACAATGAACCTGTGGTTTAAGTGTCATGGTTAATGTTCATCAACTCATTTGAAAAGAGTCTCAATATGCCAGGATCTCTATCTCTGTCTCTATCTGTCTCTATCTGTCTCTGTCTCTGTCACACACACAGACACACACACACACACACACACACACACACACACACACACGGATGAAGACTCGCGGGTCTATAGGATTAGTGCCAGCCCTGAGGTGAATACAGCCCCAGGATATTGATTCAATTCTATGGTCTCTCAAGAGCACTCATGGGCCATGTGATCATCCAGAGGAGTGAGTAGGCTCCACCCTCTCCAAAACTGAAGCTGGAGGGAGCTGGTCTCACTAACCTTATGAAGGTCCTAAAGCCAGTTGGTCCCAACTTCATCGTCCCCTTGATTCCCAGGAATCGGATGAACAAGTTAGCCATCCTGTCCACCAGGCGCAGGTAGTTGAACTGCTTGGCGTACTTGGGGAACACCTGCTTGAGGCAAATGGAGGGCAGATGGGCTTCGGGGTTGGAGTCCGAGTCACCGGCCAGCTCACAGTTCAGATCTTCCTTTGAAGTGAAAGGCTTCTCCACCTGCTGAGACCTGAAATACACAAGGCACTTGTGACTACTGCCTGCCTCCAAAGGCTTCCTTCCCTCTGGATGTACAATCAGGGACTGGCATTTGCTGCTAAAAAAAAAAAACTGGCTTTTGAATCTTTCAAGGCTCACACAGCTTCTGCAGAAGGAAGCCAAGGCTTGAACCAGGGCAGAGCCAGGACTGGAAACACCGGATTCCTCCGTCCCGCCAGCCTGGCTTCCAAGATGGGAGACAACCCTCCACTCTGCTCATGATTCAAGGGAATACTCCATTGTGAGCAGCCTGGGTCTGACTTCAAACTCCTACTTATGGGTAGTAATTGAACAATTAAGAAATAGAAAAATCTCACTGAGATTTTTTGGCAAGGAGCCATAGGCTCAGTTCAGTGAACAACTTGGGAAGACACTTTCATTCTCTCGTCCCAGGGACACAGATGCTTTTCTGTCTTAACTACTTATTTGGACCTCATACAGAAACATGATGAGAGCTTTGTGACTCCTTAGCCTGTGCGTTTTATTCTGAAATTATTCTGATAATCAAGAAGATAAGCAGCTACAGACTTTTACCTTCCCACCTCTAGCTGGGAATGGTCCCCTCCCCTTCCCTCTAGCATGATGAAGCACTTTCCCTCATCCACAGTCTGTGTCCTCATCTCCTTGGTGTGTCATTACCAGATATCGACCAGTTACCCAGGTGGGAAAATTCAGAATAAATGCCAACTCTTCCTCTGTCTCCATAGTCAATGTTACCTCTCTAGTTCCCACAGCAGCACCACAGGTCGGGGTTCTCTCATTCTTCCCTGCTTGGACCAGAGCATCATGTGTCTTAGTCACTGTCCTGTTGCAGTGCAGAGACACCACGACCACAGCAGCTCTTATAAAGAGAAGCACTTAACTGGGGTTGGCTTACAGATCAGAGGTTTAGTCTATTATCATCATGGCAGGAAGCACGACAACGTGCAGGCAGACGAGGTTGGAGAGGTAGCTGAAGGCTCTACATCTGGATTTGCAGCAGCAGAAAGAGCAGGTGACACTGGGCCTGGCTTGCTTCGGAGTCTTCTAAGTCCAACCCCAGTGACACACTCAGCAAGGCGACACTTCCTAACAGTGCCCCTACGGGCTTATGGGGCCATTTTCATCCAAGCCCCCACCCCATATTTCTGGCTGGCCCCAAACTTACCATGTAGTCCAGGCTGTCCTAGAATATGTAATTCTTCTATCACTTTCTCCCCAGAGCTGAGATTACGGGCATGTGCCACCTTGTGTAGCCAGCCCCATGGCTACCAGCATACCATATTGGGTACTTCCTCTCTGACTCTGCCTTAGATGCTGGCCTCTTTCTAGGGCTTCATCCTGGCAGTCCTGTTTTCTTCCCAGGCTTCCTTGTTTCTAGTTCCTTACTGGCTAGGCACTTCCAGGCCTTGAATGCTACCCCTCTACCTTGCTGTCCATCAGTTGGGTCTGGAACCTAAGGGTCACTGCTCTTGGGTTCCCACCTCCCTCTGTCACTCACTGCCCCTCTCTCGACTTTTCTGACTCCCCTCCCACCCAGAACTAGGACCAAGATAACCATCTGCCACCTTCTGTGACCATTCCTAAGACCATTCCTTGAACACACTGGGCATGGTCAGTAAATCCCACGAAGATCTGATCCAGGGAAGTTCAGTGCACATCTCAGGGTGCTAGGCTCTGTCCAGACTACCTCTGATGTCTCCTTGGTCATACCAACGATATCTTTCACATCCCATTCTGCTCCTTGGACACATCTCTCAGTTCTCTACACACTGCCGTGGTTCCCAGGACAGTCCCTCAGATCTCCATAAGCACTGAGGGCACGAGTCAGCTCACTTCTACAGGATGTGGTGTGTGTTAGGTTCCTGGGTGCAGGGAATGGGGAGTGGGGAGGCAGTTTTCATTAAATTTGTTGCACTTTGGGGGAGGGGGTTGAATGAAAATGGCCGCCATAGCCCCATAGGGAATTGGCACTATTAGGAAGTGTGGTCTTGTTGGAGTAGATGTAGTCTCTCTCCTCTCTCTCTCTCTCTCTCTCTCTCTCTCTCTCTCTCTCTCTCTCTCTTTCTCTCTCTCTCTCTCTCTTTTCCTGCTGCCTGCAGATCCAGATGTAGAACTCTCAACTACCTCTCTAGTCTGCCTGCATGCCACCATGCTTCCCATTATGATGATAATGAGCTAAAACTCTGAACTGTAAGCCAACCACAACTAAACGGCTTCCTTTATAAGAGCTACCACGGTCATGATGTCTCTTCACAGGAATAGAACTCTGGCCAAAACACTTTGGGAATTTGCTTTTGGGGGTGTGCTTTTAATGACGACAAACTGACAAGAAGAGTGTCAGAGCCATGATGCTTCAAATCTCATTAAGTACCTGGAAATGGGAAAGGAGATTGGGAGACAAAACCTTGTCAAAAGCTCTGCCCAAACTGTCCCAATCTCGTACCAGCCCAAGGAGCCAACCTCCAGGAAGACACGAGTAGAAAGTTCCAGAAGGCCTGGTCACAGCTTCTTTCAAGTGGATCCTAACTATGGACTCAAAGCAAGGACGGGCAGGAGAACAGAACCAGGACACAGTGAAGGAAAATCTCTTTAAAGTTCAATGGCACGGAGGGTCTGGGTTGTAACATGCTCCCTCCTGCGAGTGTGCAGATCCAAGTCCTCTGGAGAGCTGGATATTCCTGGGATGTGTGGTTTTCCTTCAGCAGAAACGGCTCTGTCACTGTCACCTTGAACTTCAGACAGTAAATAAAAGTCCAGTGGTGGTGGTAATTTTTCACATGAAATGAAGTGTTTTCCCCAAGACAGTGGTAGAAAGAGAAATGATGAGGGAGGGGTGCAAACTGACACTCTTCCCAGAAATCAGCTCTTAAATCAGAAGAAGAGTCTGTGGCTTTAATTAGAACTGCTCAGGAAGTTTGTTAAGGGGAAGGTTGGGAAGTGTGTAGTGTGGCCACTGGAGGGATGGAGCCAGCTCAGGAGGACTCAGTCAGCAAGCCCTCCCGCCCCAAGCAGTCATCCCCTTTGCTCTTCCAGCACCTCTGAGGAGGAGCCTGTGACTGCAGCCTTGTTCCGGGAAGACTGAGGCTGAACACAGCATAACATTAATCTCTGAGTGAATCAGGATTACAAATCAATTCTCTGGCATCTCTATGTCTTAGTACACCCTTATTCTGAAGCACATTATGGTTCATGTGGGGGCTACAGAATTCTGAATAGTATTGTTTAATTTTTGAAAGATCTTTTTAAAAAGAAATCCATTGCCTTTTACTTTTTTAAAAGCAAGGTTTTGTGTAACAGAAGCTGAGGGTGAGCTCAAACCTCGGATCCCCCTGCCTCCACCTTCCCACTGCTGGGATTACAGGCTTGCATCACCACATCCAGATTTACATGGTGCTAAGGATCAAACTCAGGGCCTTGTGCAGAGAGCCTAGGCAGGCTCTCTGCCACCTGAGCCGTATCTTCAGCCTGGAACTTTATGTTCCAGACAATAATTGTAGACCTTTGGAGAGAAGTATAAAGGAATCAAAATGGTTCCTAATCCCACAATTTAAATGTAGACACTAATAATGTGTAGATGTCTGTATTTAGAGTTAGGGTGACAGGACATGTAGTTTAAACTCTTTTTGCACATCCTGGGTGTATTTTTCACAGACACACACATAGTCTGTATTAAGCAAAACTATACTGTGGTTATCAGTTCCTCCTCGGTTAAAGATTTAGTGGCTACATGACTTGCTGTTTGCTTAGCAGAGCCAAGCATCCAGCCTCCTCCCTGGGTGATGTGCCTCCCCTCCCGAGTGTCAGATGCCATGCTGTGTTAGCTGTAAGTGGCTTTGGAGATCATTCCATCCAGGGATATTTTTTGTTCTTCTTGTGTGGAGCATACACAGACGCAGCTACTTAAAACGTTTTAAAGTGTACAGTTGAGTGGTATTTAGAAGGCTTTCATGAGGCTTTATCACCACGGCTGCCATCTAGTTCCAGAACACTTCACAACAATGTCATTTCAGAGAAGAAATCTTAACCCAGGTAGACAGGATTGGACCTATGTAGCAGCAGGCTGTTCAAGGCAGCGCAGGTGGAAGCCTTTGTGGGACCTGCCATGATGATGGGGACATCACCACCGCCTTCCAGCATGGTCAGGCTAGACAGGTCTTCCTCACGTGACTCTGGAGGACCAGATGTCCCCTTCCAGAGACACCTCTGTGGCATCTGGCATCTCGCACTGCCCAGCATACACCTTTCACCAGCCCTCCAAGACACTGTGCGCCTCCGGATGGCTGCCCATTTATGTCCCATTCCAGACCTGGAACTGCAGCTTCTGGGGGGAGTGGTTTTCCTCACCTGGGACACACTAAAGATGCAGCTGATGTACAAGAGGAAATAAAAGGATGAGCAATGGTGTCTTTGCTGGAGATAATTGCAATTATCACACCGAGACCCAAGCCATCACAGACACCGTAAAATCCTGTTTTTATTTAATAGCGTTTTAATGGAAATGTGAGGCTTTTGGAATAAAACTGACTGGTAAAGAAAACATAAATCAAGCTTACTAGTCCTTTGGGATCGTTTCGGAGGAAAAATATGAATTTGGTATATCCTTGATTCATTAAAACAGGAGAAAGAATCCTGGAATGTTTTTATCTATTATCATTTTTCAAAGTGGAATTCGTTTTCATTAAAACTCTTGTGAGAAACCACCCCTCTCTATTTTGTCTGGAGACCTCACTGCTAAAAACTCATCACCAATGGTTGGGGAGCCGTCTACGTGTCAATAATTGAGCTAACCAATTTATCTCAGAAATCTCATTTGTTTCCAATAACAGGTCTCTGAAGTAGGTGGGAACCATTCCCTCTACCCACAGAGAAGCCAAGTGACACTTGTCTAAGTCATTAGATCAGCTGAGGGGTTAGCATTAATTGTGGGGCCACCTCCCCCATGCCCAAGCTGAACTCACTATATGGCCCTTATGCTTATTTGACTTAAAT